CTTGTGTTTGGACCATAAAAGAATGCGAGGTTTATGGGGTCATAGCGGACACTAATCTCATCCAACCCATTTTGGAGTTCGAGGTCGAAGAAGATAAAGTTGTTGCCGGCACTGGCGTTGGAATTATCCAATCTGTTGAGGGCAGGAACATAAAAGTTCTTTATTGAGCAACTGGGCCTCACTGTGATAGTCTTCACTACGATCCATATGACAAAAAGGGTGAGGAGGAAGGTGAATATCAAGCAGCACGATTTGTATATGAGAAAGATAGGGTGTGCCCTAGCCCTCATTTCATCCTCCCAAGAGTACCTAGACATTATGAAATTGTTGCTGTTTTAAGAAAAAGGAGGACTGAATTTATGAATACACATCCAGAAGATGATAGTGTAATATATTATATATAGGAATTAAGCTAGATGACCCGCACCGGTGACCGCACGGATGATCGCGCCCTCACAGCTGAGGCACGGGTCCCACCCGAATAAAATAATCCCGACCCCCCATGTGTGTGTGCGCGGTTATCCTTGCGGTTCCTGTAACACGGTTGTTATACATAGTTAAATTTGTTGAATATAAAGAAAGACTACTAAGTCATAAACAAATACATGGAAATATTAATATTTGACGTGTGTGACTACCCCTTAATGATCTAGAGATGTGTTATTATACATGAAGATACTTGATAATTACTACTGATATCCTTTTGTACACGTTGGAGCATCTCCAATCGTTGGGTAAATTAGATTTAAATTGTAATTTAGATTCCAAAGTGATCAAAAATCTTTCCAATGGAGAGATGCAAAAGAAATGCAAATTGTATTTTTCGATAGATTATAAAAAATATATATTTACCTATATTTGATGGAATTCAGATATTAAAGTTGCCTCAAGAAACTCACATAAATCAGTGAAATTTAGACTTGTTTACACTTTTTTCAAAAAATATTAGAACTACAATTGAAATTAAGTCTTTATTTTTTTTCTTTTTATTTTATTTAAATATGAGGATATATTCGTTATTTTACAAGGATTTATTAAGAAAATAGAGTAAAATAAGGTGTTCTCCAGAAAAAATATTTGGTAATAGGTTCATATGTTGGGAGTGTTCTATTAATAAGCCTTGGACAAATTTAGGCTGTGTCTGGAGTCAATTCTTTGCCAGATTTTGATTGAATTTTAACCGTTGCCAATATCTACAGCTGCAACAGTTGACCATATGTGAGAGGTGTGGGGGCCACTATTTGAAAAAAAGGACTATATTTTGAATGAAAATCTGATGAAAAACCCACCCAGACACGCTCTTAATAACTTAAATTTGAAGTCAATGGCTCTTTTTGGACCTCCAAATCAAGGGCAAAATTGGAAACCAAACATAGTAGGTTGCAAAGGTTGTAAATAACTAAAGGATGGGTCCAATTGTGTTAATATTTTAATCAAAGTTTAAATTTCGAAATATTAAAAAGAGGGAATTTCAATGAAAGACTTCAGACCATCAACAACTACATGGAATTACTAATGTTTGACGTATAGGGCTTAGGTCATCTTCAATTCTGCACCAAAATTTAAAGTAAGTTTTACACTATTTTGCACCAAACTGAAAATAAATCACTAAATAAATAATTACGTTAAATAATGAAAATATTAAATTCATTAATGAATTTAATTGATTCCTTAACTATTAATGACTACAATATTAAGATTTATTACAAATGCATATAATAATAATAATTTAATGAAAAATGTATAACAAAAATGGATACAAATATCACCATTTTTTTTTTTTTTGCAAAGTGAAAGAGATGCAAAATTGTATTTAACCATTTTGGTGCAAAATAATGCAATAACGCAAAGTGAATAGCGTCGCACCAAATAGGATGCAAAGTGGTGTTTTGGTGTGTGCATTGGAGTTGTTCTTATGTTCTATAGATATTGTTAGGTTTTAATGGATTTTGTAATTGGAAAATTCCGTGGAAAAAAGAACTTAAATTGATAGAGTGTAAAAGTTCAAAGAGTAATGTGCAATTTTTTAAAAAGTTAGTTAAATAGGTCTAGGGTTTCGAGTTTGGAACAAGGAGGAAAACGGAGCGAATTTTCGCTAGACTGTCGCCAAGGGTTGGCTCGAGCTACAAAAGCAGAAACATTGTCCCTCGACTATCGTTGAGCCCTTACTCGAGCGACAGTGCTGTCCAGAAAATTTTTATTTCGTAATTTCAAGGCTTTTTACCAGGCCTATTGACATCTTGACCTGCCTATAAAGATCATAACTCACCTATACAAAAATTCCAAGGTTGAACATTGAGACAAACAGATCAGAGAGTGAGAATATATTTCCCTTTCACACAGTCACTACCTCTGATCATCTTACTGATCCATTTCCTGACCTTGTTCTACCACATCCCTCATTATCTATTCCTCAACATCCAAATACTTCCATTAGTTCTCTCAGTCATGCTTCTGCCTCACCTCTCAGTCCTATGAACAATCCTTCATCATCTCCAATAGAAACTTCTGAGACTTTACCCTCCACTGGTAATCATGCACCATCTCCAGTGGACTCTTATAATAACTTGAGGGCTACTGATGATCATCTTCGAATTGCACCAGTTGTTGAACTCCCTCTAGCCACCAATATCAGAAGATCAAATAGAAACATCAATCTTCCAAACTACCTCAAAGATTGTAACATAATCACTCAAAATTCCAAAGGTTCTGTCCAATCCCCTCACAACATTGCACATTTCTTATCATACCACAGACTGTCTCCAATCCATAAAACCTTTGTATTGACCAATGTTCTAAAAGGCGTAATGCGTTGCGATGCGTCGAGGTTGAGAATCAAGAATCACAAGTTTAGGCGTGTCAATGCGAAGAATAAGCGTCATAATGCGTTTCGTATTTTTAATATTATTTTAATTATTTTTAAGGTATTAAATATATATTTATATATATTTTTATATCATTAAAAAAAAT